AAGAGAGGACCACATATAGTACCTATATATGTAATATCAAAGCAATTGGACTTGCGGTTTTTAACAAGAAGTTGAAAATATCACTTTTTACCAAAATGACAAAAATATTCACCAAAATTAGAGAATTAAAGATATCATTACAAAATGAACAAATCTGAGAGAGTTTCACATGTAGTACCTATATAGGTAATATCAAAGCAATTGGACTTGCGGTTTTTAACAAGAAGTTGAAAATATCACTTTTTACCAAAAATGACAAAAATATTCACCAAAATTAAAGAATTGAATATATCATAATGAAATGAACAAATCTGAGAGAGGTCCACATGTAGTACCTATATATGTAATATCATAGCAATTAAACTTGCGGTTTTCAACAAGAAGTCGAAAATATCACTTTTTACCAAAAATATTCACCAAAATTAGAGAATTAAAGATATCATTACAAAATGAACAAATCTGAGAGAGGACCACATGTAGTACCTATATATGTAATATCAAAGCAATTGGACTTGCGGTTTTTAACAAGAAGTTGAAAATATCACTTTTTACCAAAAATGACAAAAATATTCACCAAAATTAGAGAATTGAAGATATCATAATGAAATGAACAAATCTGAGAGAGGTCTACCCAAGGTACATATACACCAAGTATCAAAGCATTCAGGCTTGTAGTTTTCAAGAAGAAGTTGAAAAAGTAAAACATTGACACGGACGACGACGGACAATCACTCATATGATAAGCTCCGCTCGACAAAGTCGACAGCCGAGCTAAAAATATTGCAATAACAGTATGGAATTATATCAAAAACACTTACGTATCTGTGATCAATATCAAGCAAGAGACTGTCAAGTTTCTTTTGCTCAGAACTCATAATGACTTCATGTAATCTACAGGAATGAAATGCATAAAATTAAAACAATTGCACTTTTAATTTCATTTAAATTAAGTTTAATCTGAAAATTACTTGTTTAAATAAAACGCATGTAACTCAAGACTGTTAATTTCAACTTACCTAGGGGTTCCAATGCACACAACTCTATCAAATCCCAATGTCTGGATAGTTTTTAAGAGAAATTCAACAGTTTTCTCATTGTACAGGTATTGCTGAGGAAAAAAACAAAATTATACTTGAAGACAGTTATCCGTAAAGTGGTCAACACAGATACTCACATGGTGAAAAAACATAATGCTGTAAACACTGCAGCCGAGACTATAACCCATGCACTCTTCCAGGTTTTCAAGATTTCTATGGTATCACATAATACAATGGTAAATAAGAACGCTATTGACTGTAAATTTGACTTCTTGATTGAAAATGCTGAATGTGTGAATATATTTGCATGGCTACTAAGGAATGATCCTTAGTATTTGAACAATGCTGGATAAATCCAGTCATGAATTGTAATGAAACTAATTTGAATAATTATAACTGCCATATTCCTTACAAATTTAATTTGTTCATGAGAAAAACTTGTACATTCAATAGTAAAAACATAAAAATTTAAATTACTTTTGTGATCAAATATCAGCAAGTTATGCATTCTCGTTGTTGTATCTAGTAGCTTTTTGAATAGTGTCGTAAACTAGAGGGGAACCTAACAACGGTACAAGTCAAGAAACTACTGTGCATCGCAGATCAACCTCAATGGCAATTGCTCCACATTGATTTTGAATTTACGAATCATCAGTTGTAAAATCCTGCTTGCAATGTGATGACTTGATGACACCTTAAAATGTTGAATAGCTGATATCGACGATAGTACCGATATGTGGAAACGTATTTTACCGCATTAGTCTTTTTATTCTCCAATGGTGCCATGACAAAGCTTGGTTTCAGCAGCTGTTCATTGGAAATATTTGTCGTCATTCGATGATTCCCATGTGACTTAGTTTCTTTGGGTGAGAGAAGTAAATTACAGTGGTGACAATACGAACGTTTGGACGGTTTCTCTCTCAATGCGCTTTGATATCTGAAAATTATACAGATGTGAATACTGATTATATATTAAATAATAAAGCCAAAACTAACATTATATTATTATAGACTAAATAATATCTGTCATTCTTTTGTTTGTATTTTCCATGGTTTCAATGGTTCTGGTTCCCTTTGTAGCCAGCCTCTATCAAATAATAAAGATTATGAATTAGTGTTCTACTCATCTGCTGATTTTTATTCCAATGTTGCTATTTAACAATCTATCCAATTTTGTTACCATGCATTATCTGACTGGACATGGGCGGCTTTTAAATTTGGTTGACTCATGAATATTAATTATTGCTAATATTATTTTATGTATGAAATAACTTTAAACTTGAAATAAATTCAGTTGAAAATGATGTTTATATCCTCTTCAATATAAACCTCATAGATTTCATACACAATCTACTTACCTTTTGTAATACTCGTTATGTGTGTACTCCGGTTGCTTTGACCTATTGAACTCGTGTCTCGCTTGTTTCCTCGCATCAGAGATTTTTTCGTCTTCATGCTGAAAGAAATCACAGTCTTTCCTATCTCTGCAAGCTGAGCAAGCAAAGAATCTTTTGTCTGATTTCTGACCTTGGAAATATCTTTCAAACAACAATGTGGGACCTAGAATGCAAACAAAAAATTGCGACTTTAATGTTGAAGCTGAGATCAAATCTGAAGTGAAATGCCTGAAGACACTATAATTTGGGTGTTTTGTATGGAATTTAATTTTTACTGATTTTTGATGAGTTAAATGTAAAATATGGGAAAAAAAAGTATATTCACTGGATGAATCATTTCTTCAGCAAAAATTAATTCCAAGCTATAATAAATTCATTTGTTAAAAACCCATTATCGTCAGTTTTCTAATATTTCTATTTATATAGAATCCCATATTTTCTCTTAGGTTGATCAAGAGACACGATCAAGAGACAACCACCAGAGCAAGTTTGTCAAAAGCACTTTTATCACAATCCATATTATTGTACATAACCCCGAACGTAACACTGGTGATATGGATTTTATAACTGCCTTGTCTTACGTCACACTGCGGTGATGCAAGTTATGCATATAATAAATAGTATATACATGTACTTGCCATAAGAAACAATGGTAAAATGCCCTAAACAGACAAAACATGCTGTTTTTACTCAGTCATTTTGTACAGGGATTTTCTCCGAACAGACTTAGTATTCTTTTAGTGCGCCGAAATGTTCAAAGACAAAATATCCTGATCGAGATATATTTATCCTGCTCGTGATGTGCTTGTATGCTAATCGGGAAATGTATTCTGATCGGTATAAATACTCCGTTCAACCAGAAATTACGGTTGACTATGCGTCATAGGTGAAGGGATTTTCTGACCAATGCTTGGACGTATAACACTCAACCACCACACCCCACCCCACCCCACCCCACCCCAATCAACCCCC